CCAGGCACACCGATAAGTATTTCCGGGTGTCCACAATTGATCCCCACAAGCAGCCTGTCAGAGGGGTTCCTGGGTCACTCCTGGTCACCCTTTGAGCACCTTGAAGGGGGGAGCGGGACTTTGGGAGCAGGAACTGGTGTGGGGAGGCCGAGGGCTTCTGGGCTGCTGGGGGCAGGGGGAAGCCCTGGCCAAGGGGGCCTTAGAAGCCAGCCCAGCACTCACAGTGTGACCTCCCAGCTGCAGGACCCCGGAAGCTCTCCCGTGACTAGTCCTTGAGGGTGGTGGGTGGGGCAGCCGGGAGGAGGGGCTGTGACCGCCAGCCTGGGGGTGGGGTGGAGGGTGTCCCTGCATTCTTATGTCTTTACCCCAGAGCACAGGCCCAGCTGCCATCCAGGACACCCCCTGGGTCTGTGTGTGGCCTCATGAAGCAGAGGCCTGAGTTCTGAGTTGAGGTGGCAGCCAAATGGCCTGGAGTGGGCTCTGCAGGCGCCAGGCGGCACCCGTCCGGGAGCTGGCCTGGGACGGGCAGGGAGCTGGAGGGGCGGAGCTTAGAGCACTGTGCTCATGCTGGCTGGCGGCTCTGAGCCCCTGCAGACCTGCGGGGGTGGAGGGGGGAAGCGGGGAGGGCAACCTCCCCATGGTCAGAGACAGAAAGCAGGGCTGGAATTCTCGTAAACAGAGCCCCTTCCCAGGGGGGCCAGGGGGGGGGCCTTCTGGTCTGAAAACCCTGGTGGTCACTCTCAAGTCCAGGCGGCCCTGGCGCAGCCCAGGGCCTGGCCGCCTGTTCCCTGCAGCACATCCAGCATGGGCTTGGGCTGGGAAAGCAGAGGGTGTGGAGGTTCCGTCCTGCAGGGTGCCCCACCCTGGGTCCCCAACATTCCTGCCTGAGAGCTGGGATTTCTGAAGAAGACAGAGAGGGCGGGAAGGGCTGGGCGCAGCAGCAGGGTTTTTAAATCATGAGCCATCAGGGTGTGATTTCTGCAAGAGCCAGAGATAAGACGGAGGTGGGCGGGAAGGTTGTGGGGGCTCAGGCAGCAAGGCCAGATCCGGGGTGAGGTCATCGGGGAAGCATGCTGTCCATAGCAAGCTTTGGGCCTCGGTGGGGGGGGGGAGGGGGGAAGGGAGGGGCCCGGACGGAAGGAGAGGAATGAGCTCGCCTTGGTGTTCTTACTTTTTAAAAGATTAAGCACTTGGTGTGGTGTCTGAATAGAACATTGGGAGTTCAGGAGTTCAAGCCCCCGGGGACCTGGGCTGGGGGGGACAGTGAACCCTGTTCTCAGGGCCAGAGAACCCCAGCCTTTGTTCCTTCCCAGGGCAAATATTCCTGGATTTGGCATGAGTGGCACCCACCTGCGCGGATTTGTAAATATTTCTGAAAACTACCCTGTGCTCAAGAGGCACTTGGGCAGCCCTTGCTGGCCATGTGCTCAGCAGCCCTGGGAAAGGTGAGGTGAGCGGGGCAGGCTGGGAAGAGGCTGAGGCCGAGGCTCCCGGGGAAGGGCGCGGGGCGAGGCCCTTCCTGGTGGCTGCACAGGGTGAACTGGCTCCCCACCTGCCCTTCCGACTGCAGCTCACTCTTTGCCAAACGTCTGGGTGGGGCCTGGTGCTTTGGCAGAACCCACACGCCCCCTTCCAAACCTCCAGCCCAGGCCAGTCCCAGAGCCTGCCATGGGCTTCTGCTGCAGAGGGGCGTCCACATTTCTGCTTGCAAGGCCTGCCCAGCACTGGGGCCCGATGCTCTCCTTGTCTCCGAGGGGCAGCTGGACCTACAGGGAAGGTGTGACCCTGCAGGCACCAGCTCTAGATGTGCAGCTAGTCAGAGCTGCTGAAGGCCCTGCAGGAAAGGGGGCCCAGCCAACATGCAAGCAAACGGTGGGACGTGGACAGTGTGCGGTCAGGGGTGTTTTGAGGAAATGGAGAGGTTTGAGATTGTCTACAAAAGAGATAAAAGCTTGAGGTGGAAAGGTGCATGGCAAACCCAGTTTAAAAAGGCACGGTTGGTAGGATTTTGGAAAAAATGACTTCCGAGCGTACAGGAAGATGTTGCTAGTTCATAGTGTTCACTGGACGATGGGACATTTTGATCCGACCTCCCCCCTCCCTCTTCTTTCTTTTGGAGGTAATACTGGGGTATGCCGTAATCGCCCACCCCCACAGCAATGTTATTTTTGTGGATGATTCCTCGTACTCATTATTATTGTCTTTTTTTTTTTTATTCTGTGCACCTACAAAGCACAGTATTCCTTTCATTGTATCAGGAGCTTAGTTTTATCTTAGTGTTAAGTAAAAATTTGCTTTCCTGTGAGAGAACAACCCAGAGCCACCCACACCAGGGTGCCAGTGACCCTCAGCCCTGGGGAAGCAGCCCTTCCCCCCTGCTCCCCACTGTGGCCAAGAACCCTTACCCCACCCGAGGGCCCAGAAGGTGCTAGTAACCACACAGGTTAACAGTTACCTTTGAATGGTCGTGAAGGGAAGCTGATCCCAGCTGACCTGTTCACCCCGGTTCACGCCTGCCCACACCCATCACTGTCCGAAAACCCCATTTCCTTCTAGCAGGGGGCGGGAGAAAGCAGAACCTGAAGGATGAAGCTGGGCAGTGGCTGTCCCGCCCTCTCCTGGCTCCTGGGACTGCTCCTGGGTCTTGAGATGTGTGTGTGTGCGCGGCAGGGTTTGGGTCCTGGATTAACGGTCCAGGAAAGGGGGTGGGAGAGACTCCAGCTCTCTGGGCCTTTCCCGGAACTCCCTTGCCCACGTTTCACTTCTCAGGAGAGGACAGCTACAAACTATGGCTCAGCTCTGTCAGGTGCAGGGTGTGGCGTGGGGGAGCTACAGAGCTTCACCCAGAAACCGAGTCTGGTCTCCCCACACCCACCCACACCTGCTTTCCAGGCACCAGCCTCCGCAGCCCATTAGCCCGGGCTTTGCCTCTGTCCTTCAGCCCTGGACCCCCCAATCCCTTTCTGGCCCCAACGACTCCCGCGCAGAGCCGGGGGAGGCCACCTACCCCTCTCTGGGCTGGACAAGCTCCGGTGGTGGGAATGGGGGGGCACTGCATTGTCCCCCTAAGTGGGGACACTGAGAACCAGCTGGAGGCTGAGGGAGGGCTGGCCCCCGGCGCCCACAGCGCCCACTTCCCGCGAGGGCCACTGACGGGAGCGAGGGCTGCCCAGTCCACCTTCCTCTGCCCTCAGTTTGTGCAGCGCCCCCGTCAGGGGATGCCTGAAACTGCAGGATCACAGATGCTCCCCAGCCCCCCCCACCACCAACCTGGCGTTTTCCTCTTCACACCGTGGGTTTTCCTATTCGTGCACACCTGGGACAAGGTTTAACTTATAAATCAGGTCCAGCAAGTGGGATTACCAGCAGCAACCAACAAGACACCCCGGTGACAGCTGTACACGCGTCTCAGAGATGCGGTCTCTGCGCCTCGCAAAAGCCCCGCTGCACAGGCTACTTGTGGGTCCTGAGAGCGCGGGCGCTGCACAAGGGCGGCTACTGCGTCTCTCGTGCCACAGAGGGAAACATCTGGAAGGACAGTACTTGAGAATGAAGTTTCTCGCGCAAGAGCTCCAAGGCCCGCTTCTCCCCAGCGCCTCTGCGGGGTGCTGGAGGCTGCGGGGGGGGGGGGGGCTCGGCCTGCCAAGCTGCGACTTACCGGATTTATGGGCACCCCGCGAGGCGGGGTGGGGGCGTAGTGTGTGTTGGGGGGAGCCTTCCGTTGACTTGGACGGGTTGGTCAGCTGGTGTTTGGGCTTTGGACAATTCCCCTCTCATACAAGCTGTATTTAGGTGAAAAAGAAGGCAGGAAGAAATGCTTCCACATTTTCTGACTAGGTCATTCCCATCCAGCCTCAAGCAAGAGACGTGGCCTCCCCTGGGGCTGACACCCTCGGACATTCTGGAGTCTGCTGCCCTCTCGTGGCCCAAGACGAAAAGGTCGCTTGCTCTCTGAGACCCGCTCAGGCCCGGGCGCCGGGCCGGGCCTAGCCGGGTTTGCCCAAACTGGCCGCTGGCCAAGGGGGTCAGGCGACCCGCAGTGGGCCTCCCGCAGTGACAGGGGCCGCTTCCTGGGCGGGCAGGACGCCAAGTGCCAGGCAGATCTTTCAACTGACCGGCCCACTCCCAGGCCCCGGCTTTCCTGCCCTGCTTGGTGACTCTTCTCCAGGGTTTCTCTCTTTCCAACTCCTGGTTGTGGTTCTGCTTTGTCTCTGGTCTCCTAAAGAGGTGATGAAGTTGAAATGAGGCTGTTGGCGTGGCCCTGATTCAGTCTGGGGTCCTGACCAGAGGAGGAAATTTGGCCCAGACCTGTATAAATGACCGACCCCACCAGACAGTCCTGTGCAGGCCACAGAGGCCGGGGAGCCCACTGGGCCTGAGGGGGGCTGCAGCCTCCAACTCTGTGAGAAGACGGATTTGCACCCTTAGGCCACGGCCCGCGTCTGCTGTTGGCAGCCCTGGCAGACGGGTGCCCCAACAAGTTTCTTCTCCCTACAGGGGGTGCCGTTCTCACTAAACGCAGACTCCCTCCCCTGGATACAGTTCCTGTATTTGTCCAAAGGATCCTTAAGATAAAACCGAGCATTTTCCTCTAACTTCATTTAATCGGCATAGTAACTTACTTTACAGGTAAAACAGTCTAAGGAGGTCGCTAGCCAGAGTCACCCAGGTAGGAGGGAGGAGCGGGCTGGACTCCCTCTCCAGGTGCCGTCTCTTCCTCTCAGCTCGGCACTGGTGTGCGGCCGGGGGCCGGAGCTGGTTCAGTGTGACTGTGTGGGTGAGTACAGGCTGCAAGAAGCCTGCTGATTCTTGCACCTGGTCACCAGGGCCTTCCTTAACCCCGTCGGAAAAGCTCAGTTCTCCTGAAAGGCCCTGGACAGACGGACACCCACCGCCCACCTGGACAGTCTCCTCCCTCACAGGTGCCCTGCCTGCGCCGACGCCAGGGGGCGCCTGTCCATCCTGGTCTTTGTCAGCAGTGACTCCTAACCACACTGTTAATCTTTCAAAATACATTTTATTAGTGGCACATGGAATTTAAAGTTAAGCAATTTCTTTCCAGAGAGAAGGTAAGAACGGACAGACTAAAAAAAAAAAAAAAAACCCCAAGAGCAGAGCAGCTATGTCCCAGCAGAAACATCATTTGCTGTGGAAATCCAGGTAAATAGGAACACTCTCCGGCAAGGTAATGACTTTCTCACCATGCTGACCACACCCAGTTCAGGGGGGCCTGGGCCCCTCTCTCTTGCCAGGGGGCCTGGAGGGGCTGTGGCAGTGACTGACTGCCCGGCGGCGGTGGACGAGCCCGGCGAGCAGGCTCAGGTGTGAGCCCCAGGGCCGCCCCGCGCCCACCGGCTGTGGTTTCACCTCCAGGCCAGGGAGCTACGCTACAGGGAAACAGGTCTAGACTGGTAAGTCAGAGGCGACCGGCGCTTTCTTAGAAAAATCCTCTCAGCCCCTCAGAGTCTCCCCAGGGCTGCTTCTGGCTCGGACGGGCGCTGTGTGTCTCGCGGGCCTGCTCTCCAGGGGCCTCCGCCTCACTGCTCCCATCTCACCCTCAGACTGCTCCTCCCTCCCTCCCGGGTCCCTGCCTGGGCCCTGGACACCTTTCCGCAGACACCTCCCCCCACTCCTGCGGACCCCCAGTTCCAAAGGCGCTCCTGGCACCCGGGCAGCTTCTGCGGTGTTAGGCCATGTCGCTCTTTCCTTCCAGCCCCAGCCCCCGGGGGCTGCTCAGGAGAAAGGCCGGCCCAGCCGTCACCTCTCCTCGACTCTCTTTACCTCAGAATTCATTCCTCAGCCACATGTTCAGGTGCTTATTGATCAAGGCGACAAAACGAGGGACAGACTGCATGATTTTTCCATTTCTAGATCTAATTGATTAGGCTAAGTCTCCACACCAGAAAACGGTACTTCTCCTCCAAACCAGCCTGTAGAACGGTCTTCCTGGGGCTCAGGGCAGGTCAGTGACACTGGTGTCTTGGTTGACCCCGCAGTGCAGCTTGCCGTCCTTGGCGGCCGCCCAGGGCATGGCGTCAGAGGTCCACTTGACTGCCCAGTTTCCTGCTTTGTCGACCAAGATGACGCCCCCCAGACCTTTGAGCTTGGACTTCATGAAGCCCAGCGACACGTCAGCAGCTTCTTCTGCTGTCTTTCCTGAACATAACAAAAGGTTGAGAAACAACACAATTAACTGAAAGGAATCTGATGGGAAACATTCGCAGGATGAATAACCAAAGTGAGCTGACCAGAGAGGTGTGGTGAGTGACTTGTAGGTGAAGGCTTGAGGGAAAGGCCCCCCACAAGGGTCCTCTGGCACTGGGGCAGCCGGAGCAGCAGTCCACGCGGGCTGCCTTTGCCCCAGGCCGGGTCTCCCTACGCCCCCCCACCCCACTCTTCTCCCGACTGGAAGGCAAAGCGTGTGGGAGGTGTTCTCCGCCCCTAGATCCTTGCGGAAGGTGGGAAGGCATCAGCATTGTGTTACCAACCTGCGAGCAACATTTGCCGCAAACGAGAAAGGGCTCCGTGGTTTACTCATCTATGCACGAAGTGTCCCCTCTCTCCGTCCAGTTTTACCTTGTTCTATGTGGAAGAGAGCGAGTCTGGCCAGGTTCACCTTCAGGATGCTCTCGCCGTGCCCCGTCGTGGAAATGGCGCCAATGTTGTTGTCAGCATAACCGCCAGATCCTGCTCAAGGAAGGGCACTGGGTCACGAGTTCGATCCCCGGCCAGGGAGCTGACCCCAAGGGCACTGCAGACCTCGGCTGCCTCCCTGCTGCTCCCCTCAGCAGCGGATTTCTGTCCGTCTGCCTGTTCTGCGCCCCACTCTGTCTCCGGTGAATCCTCACTCTCCCGTATTTCTGGTCTGTACCCCAGAAATAAATCCATCCTTAAAGAAAAAAGGGCGCTGTCTCTACCTCAGCAGCATGGTCCAGAAGTTAACCTACGACAAGCCAGGTGCCACATGCACACGAAGTCCCAGGGAGCGGGGCACCCAAAGTGGGCTTGCAGCTGTGATGCTGGGGTGCAAAAGGAGGGGGCACGAGCCCCGAGACCGAGAGGCTGGAGGGAACAAGCTGCCACAGGGGCGGCTCCGCCCGGAGCTTTGACCCGAAACACGAGCACCCCGTTGGATCCAGTGTGCACAGGGCGGACGGGTCTGACACAGCCCTCCTCCCTCCACTCCCAGGATTTAGATAATGAAAAGAACATTTTGATTTGTAATATTCCTGTGAAGTGTCTGACTTCTGTGCCACCCAAATCTAGTAACTGCAAACCTCTGCTTCCCCAGTCCAGTCATTTGAGCCCGCGTCTAAGACAAGATTTTGTGCACAGAAACCTTCTGGCCTCTGCGGGGGGCTCATTCCAGCACCCACGGATGCTCCAGGCCCTTAGGTAAGATGGCACAGTATGTGTATAGACCCTAAGCAGAGGTCCTGTGTACCCTAAGTTGTGAAATGTTATGGCCCCAGGGGAGGAGGCAACATTCGCTGCACTGTAAACATTAGTGATAATGCTGCGCCACTCGGGGCAGTGACAAGAAAACACGCGCCCGGTGCAGGCACAGAGCCCCCCCCCCCCCCCCCCC